GGGTTTCCCTCAGGAAATTTTATGTCCCAGTCACGACAGAGATGGACAAGTGATTATAGACTCCCGTGGTTTATTTTTGACAGTTTTCTGTCTTTTATACTGTTCAGCTTTTGGAGGAAGAGAAGCTATGCCCATAAACCTGAGGGCATATTTCGGCCTTCATGTTGTTGAAGATGGACATCTAAATCTTTTATGGATTCCCCAAAATGCCAAGTGGTTACAGTACACATCCAGTGAACAGAGAAGAGAGAAGCTAAATTATCAATTATTGTGTGTCAAGACCCTACTCCAGGCAGAAACCAGGTGGGTCATTGTTGCGTTCTGTTTGCTTTCTATTTGACTCAATAATAGACTGATGTGTTTAATTTGAGGTCTGAAAAGAGGGATAGCTTCCTGCTTTAAAAAAAAAAAAGGCTCATTGTTGTAAAACAAAGAATGAAGCATTTTTCCTAAAAACAAAATGAAACGCGGTTTATCCCAAATCAACATTCACTGAATTACCCTTAATATACTATCCAGTCTATGTTTAGCTTTGCCGAAATTCAACACTGACACAAGATACCCAAACGTTTCTAAAGAAATTGATGCCAGAATTTAAATGCACAAAGTAAAAATAAATTCCAATTAATTTTGACATTATCCAAAGTCACTGTGTGTCAATTTAGCTCTTCAGTCGGCCACAGCTTCAGTTAGCATGTATCCTAGTCAAAGGCAGGTGTAAGAGATAAACACTTTGCCAGGTGGGTGAAGTGAAGGTTCAGTTGCTAAAAGCAGGCCTTGCTTTGTAGAGGACTTGGGTTCTGTGCCCAGCACCCACATGGTGGCTCACAGCTATCCATGACTCCAGTTCCAGGGGATCTGATGTCTTCTTCTGACCGCTGTGGGTACCAGGGATGCACATGGGGAATTTGCACGCATACAGGCAAAACATTCCTACCCATAACATACAATAAATAAAAAACTTTTAAAAACCAACCTTAAAAATAATTTAAAACTTAATAAACTTAAGCTACCTTTTAAGTACTTCACAGCTTACAGAGCTTTTGGATCTTAAAATAATTTAATAAGTCACTCCCCGATGATTGCTGCCTGTGAAACATTAAATATTAAGCGGTTAGCCCCGACTCCATTTAGCATAAGAAAACAGGTTCAGGGAAGCTAGACGACACACCTAAGGTCAGGAGTGGCTCGGGTGTTTAAGGCATTCTCCTGTTCTTCCCAAACACAGGGAGGTTTCTAGGTACAGACCCGTGCTTCCCTTTCACAGTCAGAACTAAGAGTCCTGACCAGTACAAAAGGGTTTTTGTTTCGGTTTGGTTTTGTTGTTTTGTTTCTTTGTTTGTTCATCCTTTTTTTTCCCCCCAGTTTTTCCCTAGATACCTGGGTTATTAAAATCGCTTTGAAGTCATCAACACCTCCAGTGTCTGAGAGAGATCATTTTATTTGGTTTCGTATACATTCACATTCCTAACTTAGCTCATGCTTACTAAACTGTCTTCAGAAAGAAGAGATGACTGACAGGATAAGGCCTGCTCTCTGTTGGGTGCTGCGTCGGGGAGGATTTTGTTTGGTTGATTGACAGCTACTGTTGCTGGCTTGCTTGTTTGTTTGTTTTGTTCTGTTATGGATGTGTCCTGGCATTCTCTTCAGTTTCCAGCACCGCGGCAGAAGTTCTCACAAGGACTTTCAGCTCTGTCTATGTCGCTATCCATGAGTAACATCTCAGAGACTTTCTCTTTTCCTTCCTCTCCGCATAACAAATGTTTGTGTCTTTTGAAAGTTGGGTATCTAATTTCAAAGCAGACAGATAAATTTGCCCGGAAGAAACCCAGATATTAAGTGAGAGGGAAAGCCTTGTCCTAGGGGATTTCAAGATTCAACAAAGGCCCCAAATTACTGATCAAAAAAACCCCACCTCTGTTTTGCTAAAATTCACTTGCAAGAGTGTGTTAAAACTCACTTCTCAGACTTCACCGACAGAAGTGAGGACCATTCCTGCACGCTGGCTGGGCTCTAGATCTCTCAATTATTTCATCCATGGGAACATAAACAATGGGCAGGTATGGTGCCTTATTCTTCTGTAATGACCTTTATCATGCAGATCCAACCGTACAGCTATATAATCAGATCCCCTTAATAAACAATCTGCTTGGGTGTCCACAGGTCAGAGCCTGTGCTGGGAAGACTTGTCAAAAATAGAAAAAAAATATGAAAGAAAAATGAATCATTACAATATGGTCAAATAAAGTCCATTTATTTATTTTAAAAAAAATGAATCAATTCAGTTGAGCTCAGGGTCACACTGAAATTCAAGTGACAGTGAATTAAGCTTTTAAATTCTCTAGCTGTTGATTTTTGTATTATCCTTATATATTAACAGTGAATGAAATTTTTTCTTCAAAGTGAAGGAAAGAAAGACCCTGGAAGGTAAATAATTGATCTCAGACTTTTAGATAGTAACAACGTAGTTATCTGAAATGACAATATGGTTACAACGTTCAAAAGCAGCCAGACAGTGGTGGTGTACAGCTGGAATCCCAGCACTTGGAAGGCAGAGACAGGCAGATCTCTGTGAGTTTGAAGCCAGCCTAGAATACAGAGTTCCAGGACAGCCAGGTATACCCACAGATACCCTGTCTTGAGAAAAAAAAAAAAAAGAAAGAAAGAGAGAAAGAGAGAGAGAGAGAGAGAGAGAGAGGAGAAGAAGAAGAAAAGAAAAAGAAGAGGAGAAAAAGAAGCTTCAAAAAAAGATATAAGAGATAGCAGGCTTACCTCTATAGTTTAAATTTATCTACTATAGTCCCAATTTTCGACATAAGGCATTTTCTATCAAATTCTCGTTCCTCCTTCTAAACATGTGCTTGTTGCAGATACAAGCAAAATGCACGTTTTTTCTTTTTTCAAAGTGCAAAATTTGTATTTTCTGGACAGACACATAGAGCTCATAATGTATAGATTAAGAGCACAGATTATCTGTCCATACTTAGCACCTAGCATGCAAATGAATATTCAAAGGCTGCATATTCTATATATAATTAATATAATGCCCCAAGTGCACTGTAATTTAGCATTTCTTCAATATTTTTCTTAACAATAGATCCATCTTGGAGATTGTTGTTCCCCTATCAGTTTAAAAAGGATTCCTTCTTTGTTTTCGTAGCTGTCTACTAAAGTATTCTATTGTTGAGCGGTATCCGCATCTGTTTGATCTGTTCCCTGTTAACAGCTGTTGGGTCGTGTTAAACATTTGGTCATTCTGAATAAGGGTACAATGGCTAAGTTTGTGTGTGTGTGTGACCTATCACACGTGGGAAGCTGTAGAAGTGGAAATTCTGGATCATGTGTAATCTGACAGAAACTGCAGCTTATCTACCACAGGTGGTAGTGCCTCCTGACCTCCCCACCATCTGTGTAAGTAAGCAACAAGGTTCTTTGTCCCATTTACACCGTCTGGAAGAAGTCACTTTTTGTGCCATCAAGGGTGGCCATGACGACTCAGCTGTCCTCTGAAAAGAACCCTAGGCCTTAGGATTCACTCTGTGTTTAAATTTGAGAGTGGTTGTTTGACAAGAAAAAGAAGTCTCATTGGCTAACGTTTTCAGGGGCTTCACAGCCCAAGCTGGCGCTGCACACCTGGCAGAGGCCTCTGATAGAGTCCAAGCGTGGTGGCGTAGCATCGTGTGTCAGGAACACAGGTGAGAGCAGTGAGCGGTGTGCAAAGGGAATCGGAGAGGAAGAGATGAAAAGAGAGAGCCCGTGAAGGAAACTGAGATCTCATGAAAACAGCCGTGATATGAATTAATCCCATCCAAACCATCCAAGAAAGAAGTCAGCTTCCTGCTGTAACCATATGGGGCTGACTCACTTTCCACAGAAAACCATTAAGGCCTCTTCAGGACCAGTCATCAGCTCTTAAAGGTTCCATCCCAGCCATACCACTGCCTTGGGGACCAAGCTTCCAATTGATGACTGTCTGAGGGACAACCCAGATCCAAGTCACACTCGTCTATTCAGAACTCACCATCTTATCTTCTGGCTGGCCCCAGGCAGCACTAAACTCTCATATTCTAACACACAAATTAATGCTCACTAACGTTTTGAACGACTGTTTACATTGTGTCTTCAGCAAGACTGCAAGCCCCTTGAGGCCGCGGAGTGTTCTTCACAATTCCCAGTAAAATCTAATTGTGAGTCACTGAGATATTAGCAGAGGAAGTGGAAGAGATTTCTGAAGCTAAATGTTACTTTGTATATCTCAACTTTGGGGTAGATTGACCCTGAGACTGCCAAAACAGGAACTGGAGGTGGAAGGAACCATTCAGAGAAAAGACACTAATCCACATGTTGGCACAGGATCCGATCCTGTCATGGAGCCTTCTGCTGGTAAACCCGTTGATTGTCCAGGGACTGACATAGACGGTGGGTCATTATTACTATAAAGATATAGATCTTCCTCTGAAAACATCCGGAGCAGTTACCTTGTGTTGAGAGCATCTGATTTCAAGAAATTAGCCAAGGATCCAAAGCTTCTTCAAGCTGAATTGTGAGGAAGTGGCCAAGAGAGACAAGACATTCAAAGAGCCACACTTTCCCTAGTGGTGCGTGTGATAGTGTTTGTCTAAAAAGACTGTAGACGTTCTTATGGTTCCTGAGAAGTCTTGGGTCCTAGTCCTGAACTTTGCTTAGTTCTGGGTTTCTCGCTTCCTTTTCAGAACCTGAAGACTGAGGGGCGTGCAGCTTCGCGGTGTGATGCGTGCTCTCCAAGCCAAGCCCCTTCACATCCCTGGTTCTGGGGATTCCGCTTTATCCTCCCACCCCACCCCCAGATCTCCAATTTGGATGGAAGACTTTTGACTGATAACATGCCATCTACGCAAAAAAGTTCTGTGTGCGTGGTGGGGGGGAAATAAAGACAGGGATCTTAGGTATTCAAAGTGACTCCTTCCTACTGGAGATTAAACTGAAAATGGTTTAAGAAACAAAAAAATGTTTAATAAATAAGAATATTTTATTAAATTAATGCAATACAATGACAATTAGATGCAAAATAAAATTTACATGTAGGGCGACCCACAACACAAAGGTATAAAGTGCCGTTACAATCCAACGCCGTGAGACGGTGTTAAGATTTCAAATAAAGTGAGTGGAGTCTCGCTCGACTACATATTTTCTTAAACTTCATACAAACAGAACATTGCCATGAGAATCATCCCGTGAACGGGTAACAGAAGGGTTCCCTTGGGGGTTCTGATTCATCAGTCTTAGCTCTGAGACAGAATTTCACTATGTTGCCCTGGCTGGCTTGGGCTCTATGTAGACCAGGCTGGCCTCAACTCACAGAGATCTGCCTGCTTCTCTTCCCGAAGGCTGGGATTAGAGACTTGTATGCACCACCGTACCTGGTCTGTTTCTTCACCCCTGACATGGGACCAGACAAAGAGGACTGAAAGAAAGCTCTGGGCTCTTTCTCCCCTCCTCCCTCAAGAAAACATTATCTTTGAGGCCCCTGTGGCAATGAGAGGCAGTGACCTTCAAGGGTTCAGGCAGAGCTAAGGGGCTTTTCCTGGTACAAGGGCAGGTCCAGGGCAACCAGCAGGAGGAGCAAAGCTGGGATTTCCAGGGAGAACCTGTGATAAGCAAGCAGAGCATCTGTGTTTGAGAAAAGAAGCAGAGGGAAAACAGCAGTGCCAGCACTGCGCCAGATCTGCGTCTTGTTGAGTGACAGAGAAGGCTACCGACTCCTCGGTGTGCTGACTGAGGAGAAGGCTACCGACTCCTCGGTGTACTGAGTGAAGGAGAAGGCTACCCACTCCTCGGTGTGCTGAGTGAAGGAGAAGGCTACCCACTCCTCGGTGTTGGGTAGACCCAGTGGACCCTGGGGACTCATGGTCTCCCTTTGAGCAGACATAAAATAAACCAAACACAAACTCAGTCAGTGAGTAAGTGCTCTACAAATGGTATTTTACAGGTAGGGACAACAGACACAGTGCCTGGCCTAGGCACTATGAGAGACATCTGTAGGGATGGGAAGGAAAACCCTAGAAAGGGGGCAGTTCCCTTCTTGGATCTTTAAATAGGTTCCAGCAGCTGCATAAGGATCAGTACATTAAATAAAAAGGGTAAATATGCAAATACACAGTGAGCTACTATTTAGGAATTAAAAAAATATAGGTACTTTAACATATATTTCTACTTATTAATCATCTTTGGGAAAATATATGTGCAAAAAGCAACACCAGTTGCTTCTGGGAAGGGGCTAGCAAGGCTAGGGCGATGGAATAGAGTTTTATTTTGTCTTTGGGACCATTCTGAGTCAGCACCCTATTGACATGTATTTGGATTGCATGTGTGTTCATGTGCATGTGTGTGTGCATGTGTGTACATGTGTGTGCATGTGTGTGTGGTGTATGTGTGTATGCAGGCATCATTTCTCAGGCACTATCTACATCATCTTTTGAGGTATCAGCTCTCATAAGCCTGGCGCTTACCAAGCAGGCTAGATTGGCTAGCCAACGAGAGTTAGGGATCTGCCTGTCTCTGCCTCCCTAGTGCTGAGATCAAACGCATGCAGATATACCCAGCTGTTTTTGTATGTGGGTTTTGGGGAACAAACTTAGGGTTTTATACCTCATGAGGAAAGTGTTTTATAGCTGAGCTATCTCCCCAACCCTCAATATCATTTAGATAGAAAAATAAAAAAGAACTTTTAAGCAATGCTAGATATTACAAAGAGGATGTGAGATTGTATGAAGAAGGTAACAAATAAGACGTAAATCTAATGCTAGACAAGGAACTCAAGAGTTACTTCCAGAGTCTTTTAAATATAGACTCCTTGTTAATGAACATTGCTTTGAGTATTGAACTTAAGCATATGCATACACATATCCAACCAGTACCCTGGCTTGCATCTCTATGCTCAGGGCCAGCATGGTACACAAGGCTGTGTGAAATCAATGCTACTTAGGCAGTTTTTAAATTCATTTCTTAGCTACAAACTGAATCCTGAAAGGACAGTGGCTGAAGGACAGAAATCTGATAGCTGTTATTCTGTAGGCAAATCACTTAATTGCTCAGCTTCTTGGGCTATGAAGTGAGTATAATAGAGGTTACCCTGAGGGTTGTTGCTATGGAGATGAAATGAGATTGTTGCATATAGTATCAGACACTTGTAAAACTGACACTTCAACGGAACAATTACTACCACAGAGCCTCAAGGACTGAGAATAAAGATTATTCAAGTCAAATAGCAAGAGCCCTATTGAACCAAGCATGGTCCCGCTTATACCAGTAGTCACAGAGGACACCAAGCACCTCACACGTGCACATGCGTTTCTGCCTGTGGACAAGATGGTAAGCAGCAGTAGAGTTTGGTGACTGTATGTTAGCATCTATTATGTCTTTAGAACGCATCAGGCACAACCACACTCCCACAACAAGCATACACAAACTCAAAATAAATAGGAACACTCATACTTCCACACTTGTGACTCTCCGCTGCCCATCCAGGCACCGAGAGGAAGGAAAGGGCACTTCTGCAAGGGCCAGATGTTGAGCCAGGGGTTCTCAGCCCACTTTCCCAAGATGATTAATGGGTAACTTGCTTGTTGGTATCTCCTGCAGAAATGTCCTTTATCCCAGGCTCGCCTTTTTCTCTCTTCTCTTGTCTTCCCAGGTTCCATTTCGAGTCCTTGGACCCACATCCCAAGGGCCCCTTCATTCACAGACCACAGACTGCCAATCCCGCCTCGAAGATCAGAGGTTTCCGTGCTGCTTACGTCTCCTCGAACTGTGTATCTGGAGAGGGACCATAGTAAAGTAATCTCACAGGAGCAGGGAATGTGCGGGGGAAATGCATGAAGACGTGCAAGACAAACAAGTTGGATATTGCTAGATCATATGATAAGGTTGCAATAAGACAGAGACAAATTTGGCAACACTTGCATGCTGACGGATGACTAAACACCCTTGTTTGTCCGGGACTGCCCTGGTTTTAAAAATGGAAAACTTGCTGGACTGAGAAACCCTCAAGCTGAGCAAGCTAGGCTGGTTCCTCAGGGAACTCAGCAGCATAAACGGTAGTGCACACAAGGGAACCTACTCCGGGCTGCTCAAGTTCACGAGCCAGCTTTAATCCTGCCTGTGCTCAGTGGTACCCTTAGGTTCTAACCACAGTACAGTGAATTAGAAAACTTGATAGAGCTTATTTAAAAAATTAGGGCAGTGAGGGTTTTCTACTCCTAGAAACATAGACATTAGCAGCAGAATGAAGTGGAGGCCATAGGATGGGAATGAAAGCGTATGGCGAGGCTGAGTGTTCCTGCCACCTTATTTTATATTCTCATATTTATAAGAGTGCTTGAGGGCGGGTGATGAAATGAACTCCATATCCCACACAAGAACGAGTTAGCAGCGGACCGACCAGCAGAACCATTTGTTAGTTACACATTCATCTGACTCAGCACTCTCTCTGGTTGCAGGGCTACCAAGGTATCAGCAGCTTAGACAAAAGCGCCCCTCCCCTCCTGCTCCCAACTCTTTGCAGCCCTGGGCTGAGTTTTAGTATGCAGGACCATCCCAGAATTTCCTCAGTTGTGGGAGTTGTGAGGCAGAGGAGTCCTCGGTCCTCACAAACAGGCTCCTTTGGAAGGAGGGGAGGTCACGACTAGTCGATTTCTCTTGTTATGATAGCCTTTTCTTCTTCCTGTTTATGTTGTTTGCTATGTGGGTCAGGAGGCTTGCAACTCACTATCCTCCTGCCTCAGCCTACAGAGCTCTGGAACCACAACCCTGCAGGACCAAACTGCACTGCCCTTCCATTTACCCATCCCTTTTGTCACACTTACCGTTTTGGTTTTTTGACTTTGTGTCTTCGAAGCCACATTTCTCCACATCTAGGGTTTTCACTGAATGAGAAAAAAATCAATCTTAATTCTGTACAGCACAAAACTACGACCCAACCCACAGTGACTCAAGTTTCAACTCAATCTTAATCACTGGACTTTTAGTCCACAAGCTTTCTTATTCCAAGTACAAAACCCCAAAGCTAATTATGCAACAACTTAGGACACACACTTACTCTCTCACTCTCTCTCTCTCTCTCTCTCCCTCCCTCTCTTCCCTTCCTCCCACCTCTCTGTCCTCTTTCTCTCTCTCTAGGGTTGTCTACTTTGTTTCCCGTCCTATCCTCAGAGCTGGCCTACATCCCGAACTACTCTATTACCTACTGAAACTCTACCACACTCCTTCTCCATCAATCCTTTCCAGACTCAGTTTGGCAACAATCTCTTCCTTGCGCAAGCCCAAGTCTAGTTCTAGTCCAGACGTGCCACTGAAACCTAATGTCACATCTTGGCCACCCTCTTGGTTCTGGTTAGGGTCTGTACTTTGGACACAGCTGGTCGCTACCCCCTCAGTTATATGGCTTTCCGCATACACTCATCCTCCGAAGGATTAAAGGGGAATTCCTCTCAGAAGACTGAAGTTCATTTCCACATTTTAGTTCCCTATTTGGCTTCAGGCAAGTCCATACATCACTGGCTCTCTGGGTATACACTTCAAAGCACTGCGGAAAAGGTTTTCTCTAAGTCATCTTACAAGGGGATGACATTATTTGGATGCACTCATTTTCCTAGATTTAAATCATTCTTATGGGTAAAAGCTGAAATCAATATATGAAAATTATTTAAACCACTATGTCATAATGATTCCAGAAAGTTTGCAAAAAAAAAATGCTTTGTGGTAAAGATAGCAGTTTTAGACAGAAATGTTTCCCTACTTAGGGTACCCAGAACCCAGTTCGATAGGATGTTGCAAGGGATTCAACTTGAATTCAACTGAGACCAATGGGCACAATGGTCTTTCAAAGTCTGTGGTTATTTACTTGTTAAGAAGGAGCCTTACAGCTGTCTTCTTCAGCCTCCACCGCTACCCGTCCAACACCCCTGCACTGCACACAGTGGCGCCGCCTGACTCTACTGTGAACCACTGAACGGCAGACGCTGCAGTGCTGCCTCAAAAGCACGTCTTTAATCCCAGCACTCGGGAGGCAGAGGCAGGCGGATCTCTGGGAGTTCGAGGCCAGCCTGGTCTACAAGAGCTAGTTCTGGGACAGGCACCAAAGCTACAGAGAAACCCTGTCTCGAAAAACCAAAAAAAAAAAAAATGCTAAGTCTTTTAGCTTTTCTAAACCCTGTCCAACTCACACTCCTCCAAAATACAACACGGTCCAACGGGACACTCCCAGGTAGGAGATGCAGCGGAACAGCTACGTGAGCAGGGCTGAAGGAAGACTCGGCTCACCGGAGTCACAGCTCAAACTTATTTTGTCTAACTGAAAGTGAAAGGCACAACCTTCAAGGTCAAGTATTTCCCAGGAAGGCTCGGCCAGCCTGTTGGGTCAGGCTGTAGTATGGGGCTGCCCTTATCAAGTTAGGGTAGGTGCTGTCTCTGACACTGCCTACTCAATATCGCGGTAAGAAGACCTTCGCGGACTTTCCCCAGGCAGCACAGAAACCACAGTGGTGAAGGAAATACCTTGTTTTCTTAGGCAGAAGAAGACTAGGACTACAACAAACAACAGTAGAAGCGGTCCCAGAAGTACCCAGTGAGTCCTCTTATTTGGGAGAAATTCTGCAGGTGGTTCTGAAAAAGAGAATTGAAAGATGCCGACTAAAGAGAAGGTTTTGCTTGGAAATAGTCAGGAGAATGGTCATTCCTGAAATCTAGTTTGGCTTTAGGGTAATCTTAATTACTAAAAGTCAATGGCCAGTCAAGGCTTGCACGCGTGCCACAGACTGAACGCTACTCCCGCAAATGGCTTTGAAACCTCCAAGACTGAATTCTACCGCTGCGGATTGACTTTGAAACCTCCAAAGGTTTCAGCCTATCAAACAGAAATGCTAGGGATGTCTTGTGTGGCTATCTGTGACATGTTTAGCATAGTGCCACAGAAAGTGACTGCAAGATTAAATGGGGGCCTTGGTGAAGTAAGTTCCTTGTGCACTCTGTAATATAGACACTAACAGCCAACATGGCATGGAAGGCCCACTCTAGAACATGGAAGACCACTGGGCACTGTTAAGCAGCTTCTGCCTACCACACCTGTGGTGGTGATCACGGACCAATGTGTGTTTTTATTCCTTCATGTTTGAAACTCTCTTGACATTCTAGTCATTGGCTTCTCATGCCAGGGTCTCTGTCTGAAGTTTTGGGAAAGGTAGGTCCCGGGGCACAAGGATGCTTTGGGATTGCCAACTCCCATCTCTTGTTGTAAATCAGTTCCTGTTTGTCCCCACTATGAATCAACTGAGATCCACAATACTTAACTACACGGTTTATAAAGCCTGTTCACGAATGTTGTATTTGCATTTCAAAGTAACAGATGTTAAACCTACCAACTGGTTCTTATAAAACCAAACAAACCCAAGTTACAGGCAAATAGACAGAGGGGCTAAGTAAGTTACTCCAGGATGCCCCACAAATAAATTGCCATCAAACAGCGTTTGTTGTTTTATTGTGATGATGTTCACTTGTTTTGTTTCTGAAGCAGAGTCTCTTGTAATCCATGCTGGCTTTGAACTTGCTAAGTAGTTGAAGATGACCTTGAACTTCTGAGCCTCTTGCCTTGGCCACCCAAGTGTTTAGATTACAGGTGAGTCCTACATCACCAGGCTTCTCTGGTATTGGGTGTCAGCTCTTTGTGGATGCCAGGCAAGTACTTTCCCAACTGAGCTACATCTCCAGCCTCATAAAACAGCATTGAATGGCAGGAACCCAGTAAGACAGCTTTTACGAGAGCGCCCAATTCAGTTAGGCCGTCTTCCTGGTTTTCTACACCTGTTTGCTCTTTCTGGTTCCAAGTCCATCCTGGGCTGAATTTTCATATTAGTTGACTTTTCTGTGTAATTTTATTTCTTTTTTTCTAAACTTTCTAGAGCACTACTGCTGGTGGACATTGGAGAGGAGATGAAGCAGAAGCAACTTTCCTCAGAATTCCCTGGATTTAAGTTCTCCTAACGCTCTGAGCCTCTCACCTGGCTGTCCCCCATCCCGTCTATACCTGTAAGGTAACAAGCTTAAAAAAACAGCTGAACTTATCTACAGCTCATTGTGTCTCTCCGATAGCCTTGCCGGGTGAATTACAACCATTACAGGGCACGTGAACTACACAGAAATCTAGGAGGTTGCCAAAAGATATCAGGCTCATGTTCTATGCACAAGGCAGACTTCCTGGAGTTGAAACATCAGAGCAACAGAGGGGGAAAGGACCCTTCACACTGAGACTAAGACGAAAGGACAAAGCATTTGTTTCCTACTACAGAAGCCCTGGAGAGAAGAGAGCAGCTCCAGTATGATAACGTTTTGATTCCTGAAGCATAAGTTGAGTCCTTATCTCATGCCCCCACGGTGCCCCAGCTGCGACAGTGTTTCCTACGTTGCAGCTGTCCCCTGTTCTCCTGGAGCACGGTGACTTTTGTCCTATTCATCTGTGAACACTCGATGCCTAACATACAGTTTGTCATGGGTGAATACTCAATAAACACTTGCTGAATATTTTTTTAAGTAGCACTATGGCTAGCGTGCAAGAAAATGAGGAAATAGCATACATTTAATAGACATAAGTGCTGTTTATCCATGTACTCGGTCAGCTGGCACTGGGTGATTATGACGGACAGCTGTCATGCGAGGGGACAAGGGACAGAATTAGGCAGTTTACCTGGGATGATCAACTCAGCTGTGTAGTTTTCCCCTGACTGTAATCTCCAAAACGTGCAGTAGAAAACATCGTTAGCCGTTGCGTTGATCCTCAGAGTGCTGGTCATATTGAAAAGCTTCTCTTCTGTCTGGGAAGTGGTGACAGTGGTCTTGCCACTCAGGGATTGGTTGTCACTGTTGGTCCAGATGACTTCAGCTTTTGGGTAGCCCTCAGCCTGACATGTTAGTTCGTACTCGGACGTGGCTGGATCCATGAAAATTCTGTGGTTGATTTTGTGGTACGGGGCTAGGTCATAAGCAAAAAGAGGTCAAGGCTCTCTCCCATCGCAGGTGCTGTCTGATTACAAATACTGTCAACTTGGGCCAGTTCTTGGGGAACTATGTCTCCAGCTCAGCTCAGGGAGTGTGTGCTAGTCTGCCTCAGGTTTTCTGTTCAAATCTGGGCCACGTTTGGGCTTAAGGAACAATCACATTGCAGGAATAAATCACACCAGCGAGCTTATTGGGCTCAAACTAAATGTCTCAAATAAATAAAGTAAATTATCATCTTGAAACCAAAGGTCTTTCTATCTAAATATAAATTATATCTATTAAATCAATAATCATTGTTCTGCCCTCAGTGTTTTAGTGAGCCATTTATTAGAGCCTAGGAGAGAGACTTTATTACCTACTCCCAGCCAAAGACATAATAAGAGTGTTGCAACATATTTTCACAGAAATCTGACACAGAGCAGCTAGTATAAAGCAAACTGAAATAATGACATGATGTTTTGTTGCCCTTGAATCAAGAAAATGACCACCAATAAAATAGGTATAATTATGATTTCAAAACACAAAAAGGGCTTTTATGGACACTTGAGCCCTTAGTCTTGTATTTGTCATATTTAAGAACAATTAAAAGTAAAACTACTGATTATACCTTATTAAATAGGCACTTGGTGAAATAATGTCACCCCAATAGAGTCTATCCCACATTGCACAAGATTTAATTTTTCTGGGAATTAAAGGTTTACATTTGAAATCACTGTCAATGGTAAGACATTTGGAGTGAAATAGTTGCTTTCTAGTCTCACTTTTCCGGGGCCTTAGTTGAAGGAGAATGTGGTGAACCGAAGAGTTGCCTCGTCCACACTGATTCAACCCCCAGAGCTTTCGTGGCTAAGATGGACACATGCATGAAGACGCAACATTAAAATGTAAGAACTACTTCTGTGTTTGCTATAGTGCCTGTTAAATTACATATGCCTCAAAACCCTTGATGGCAGCCACTGTACGTCACTGTCGGCCACAGGAACAAAGAGGGTTACTGTGGATTTTTCAAATTCTCCTTTTTTTGTTTGTTCGGTTTTGAGAAAGAGTTTCTTTCATTTTTTTTTTTTGTTTTTGTTTTTCGAGACAGGGTTTCTCTGTGTAACAGCCCTAGCTGTCCTGAAACTAGCTCTGGTAGACCAGGCTGGCCTTGAACTTACAGATTCGCCTGCCTCTGCTAGGATTAAAGGCGTGCGCCACCACCGCCACGCTGAGAGTTTCACGTAGATCAGGCTAGCCTCTTGAACTTGCTGTGTAGCGAAAGAGAACTCTATACCTCCTGAGTGCAGGAATCACAGGCAAGCGTGTGCCACCACATTGGGTTTTAAACTAGAACTTCATGACTGGCAGGCAAACACTCTACCAGCTGAACTACAGACCCATTCCCCGTGTCTACTTTTAACTGAATTAACCTATTTTTTTTAATGAGCTCGTTTAAAAGTCTCCTTATAGAAGCAGAGGCTTGAAGATGTTAACAATTCCACACAAAGCAAAACAAAATGTCAGAAGTGACTTCATCATCCACTTTCTGAAGTTAAAAACAAATACTGAGTAGGATACAATGAAACATTGGCTAAAATAAGCTTCAAGATTATTGAGACCATCTCCATTTGTTAATGGTGAATTTCATCATAATATACACTGATGTTGTCACGATTGGCAAGACATTACACATATTGTTTATTCCAATTATTTCTCCTTTGGGATTTTGTCTATTTTTGTCCATTTCAAGAATAGATCATGTGTTAGATGGAGCCAACTATATGAAATCAATGACAGTTATCTTCTTTTGATCTTTAAAATGACAATTTCTTATGATATAAACTATGTATTGGTGCCAAATTTATATTTTATAATCACATACAAGTTTGTGGCACTTTACAGAAAGGCTAGACAAGCAAGTTTTGTTTTGTTTGTTTTGAAAACTCTGGCTCGGATCTATAATACTCTGCTACCTAGTTGGCTGATCAAGACCAAGTAAAGTTCAGTTTAGTTTAAAGTCATTGTTCAGCTTGATGCACACTCCAGCGGCCCAAAGCTAGGCAGCAAAGCACAGTTAGTAAGGGCACAGATTTCAGAAACGAGCTAGTTAGGTTTAGGACCTGGCTTTATCATTTTAGATGCATTACTTCTTTGGCTAAATATTGAATCTAAAATGCCATCCATTGAAAGACACATTCAGATTTGAAATATAGTAAGAAGGAAAAAACCCAGAATGGCCATGATCAAGGGTCTCCTCCACAGTGCCATGTTAAAGATTAGATTAATTCATATGAGCAAAAAGCCCAGGCTCATGGCCTAACATGTATTAGGAGTTGCCTAAGCATTGTGCAACTGCTCCCGCTACCACCAGCCAGACGAGGAGGACCAGGAACACAGTGTTCCTCCCTTTTTTACCACTTCTTCAGTGGGTCTTCAGAAAGTTCTTACAGCTCTTGGCACACAGTCTTGGCAGTCAGTTTTCCCATATTCAAGTCAGTTCAGAGAACAAACATCTTAAGCTAATGGTTTTTGAAACAACCATTCCTTCCTTCAACAAATATTCTTCTCTTTTCTTGTTGCACAGGAATGTCATCATAAACCAAGGCATAGAGGCCCAACAATGAATAAAACAGACCCAACCCCTGCCCCTCCGGTTTGTGATCCAGATGAAGGAAAGAGAGAATAAATATGAGATTCTGAGACATACTAGATGGAGACAGATGACATAGAAAAGATTTAAACAGGACTTAGGGATCTGGTTGGCCTTAATCATCTATACATATGATTAAAATGTTTCCTACAGCTGCTCAATATCATTTAAGGCCCAGAAACATTAAATGAACATTTCATTTTTTTGCGATATTAATTTCAGTGATTAAAGCTAAAGATTTCAATTGAAAGCCGGATACCTGGGGGTCTTCTGTAACCTTTCGAAAGTATAATAGCACCCGAAGAGATCATGGCAACTGAGTTAATACAAAACTACAGCCTTTCACGTTTCAGTTTTAAAATGCTTCACCTTTAAAATCCCAGGGTGAGTGCCCACCCTCCCAGGGAGCTTTACTGCCACACACTTGCAGTAATGGGAAGAGAAAAGGGGCAGCAGCATTACTGTGAAATCATTTGCATGGGAGATGACTCAGGAGTTCTACTTCCTCTGCATGCAAAGCTCCTACGTGCCAGCCACCAAGGTGCTAGAGATGGAACCCAGGGTTCCACACACACTGGGCAAGTATTCTACCGCTGAGCTATGTCCTATGTCCGCAGTCCTGTTCCTATTCTTAATCTTTTTGTTTGTTTGTTTGTTTGTTTGAGAAAGGGTCTTGCTAAAGTTGCTCAGGTTGACCTTGAACATGATATGTGTGTGTGTGTGTGTGTGTGTGTGTGTGTGTGTGTCTGTGTGTGTCTGTGTATCCCAGACAAGGGATATATATCCCATATACATATATATATATATATATATATATATATATATATCCCAGACAAGGCCCTATTTTGCCCTACTTTGTGATTCTCCTGTCTCGGCCTCTCAAATAGCTGGATTTGAGCCCAGACACTCACCAAAGCCACAAAGCTCAGGTTCAAACCCTTGGTCTAGCTCATCTAAGCTCCCAAACCACTGGCTGCAAATGACAAGATGAGATGGAAGTAGAACGCCAAGGTAGCGATGTCTAAAAGAAAAAGAAACGTTCACACAAGCAGACCTCAAGTCTGCTTGGTCATCAGCTTTGTCCCACCAAATCTCTCTCCACGGAGAAGTCATCAGCCAGAAGGTTTCCTTTTGCATCAGAGATATTGTGGAGCGGATAATCTAGAAGACAGTCATCCTCGCCACAAAGTCAGCTACTCCCAACAAGTCACAGGAGACGTCTGGACACAGAGACTTCCTTCTTCCTGACTGCTAGGATTGGTCTTTCCCCTTACCTCAGGTTCAGCAACCTTGACTGATCATGACCTTCAGGCTTCATAATGCCTTTAAATGTCTTGGAACAAAATAGACACTTCATATTTGCTGATGAGCTAACACGCGCTCAAGATATGAACAACCACATCCCTTCATTCATGGATGTCACAAAAGACAATGAAAATAAAGACAAGTGATATTTTTATAACAATGGTAGTTTCAAAAGATCCAGCATCAGAGACCCATTCATATGCTATCAGTTGGACACATTATCCTTACTTCTACGTAACGTTTTAGGAAATAGTTATCTTGATGACTTTGAAGAAGTATTCTTTTTTCATAATACTGACCTTCACACTAGTTTAGGAATAAAAGGATTACAAGAGATTATCTAATTCTAGTCAAATATTTAACAGCTTATTATGAAAACCAAAAGAGGCAGGCAGATCATCTCAAGCATACACCTGGGGAAGAGAGAGTTCAGCTCGCTGTCAATCAGGGAGAAGTTTTGGCAAACCACGGAAGGGGGTTCCAAACAGAAAGGACGCCACTTTGGGAAGTATATGAAGCAAGGAGCCTTGGGGAAATTCTGTCCTGGCAGGCGTTTGGATTGTCTGTGTGAACGCTTGGGAGGGGTGCAACTCTCAGTTCTATGAAACCCAACAGCGAAAGCAAGGGTGGTTAGTAAGGTAATTTCCTTCCCTTAGCTAGTTCCAATCCAGAGCCTTAAACTCAAGTGACCTGCTGATATTTTCTGGGAGTCCTTTTCCAGGAACTTATACCAGTAGTGCCTCCTCGGTGTACTCCCAAGTGACCCTGGCACAAGCCCTGGAGATGAGCGTGGCTTCTCTGTGGAAGAATGGCTTCTTCTATACTTAACATCATCAGTTTTCATCCTTCATAGATTAACCTTGTCTTTTTGAATGTGAATCTTACAGCAGGCTACATATGTGTGTGTGTATGTATGTATTTACATACATACATACATACATATTGGATTTTGTATGGAGATACTCAAGGGAAGGAAAATGTGCTAAGCCTGATAGAATTTTTTTTTTTTAAAAAAAAAAACCAATCCAATAAAAAGGTTCTGGAGGGATACACAAATAGCATATGCACGCCATGGATGATGGTACTGAAGGGAGGAAGGACATTTTATGATTCTATTCCTTTCCATGATATCCAAATTATTTATAAGTGTATATACTGCATTTACAATAATAAAAAGCAAACACCTGGCACTTAGCCTTTGAAAGCTCACAGTGCTGCAGAGCATGGCTGTGCATTATCTGGTACTGGATCTCAAGTGACTGTCAAACACGAGACGCTAGGAGTATTCATTGGCGGAGAGTATGAATGAACAGGCTGCTATTGTTCTGTGAAAAGTAGGTGTGGACTTCCAACTATGCAAAACTCTCCGCATTACAGAGATGTCTTAAATGTAGGTCAAGACTTCCTTATCGGGAGGAACTCTTACCATGGACTTTCAGTGTGATCCTCTTGTAGTCTGCGCCGCCATAGCTGATCATGCAACAGTAAACCCCGGCATCCCGCAGCTTCACGTCCGTGATGTGAAGCCCAGCGTTTCCCTTTAAAATCTGTTCCTTTGGCAACGAGGCTCTCTCCCTGAAGCTACTGTCTTGCCGGTCTGTCTTTCCATCTACGAACTGAATAACTTGTTGGTCGTCCTTCTCCCAGTAGACAACTAAGGAGGGCAGGTCCAGCTGGTGTTCTACCGGGAATCTGCATTCAATCGTGACATTGCTGCCATATTCTACCACATACAGGTCCTTGGGAGCCGTGATGGTGAAGGCTGAAAAGAAAGTGGACCGGCCCTCAGAAGACAGAAAAGTCCTCCAAACACATTTGGAAAATGGGTAAAAGGTTACAATCATTTTATTTGTTGAATTGCATGAACACTAAAATTCTTCTTTAAAATATCTTCACTGGGAAGAGCACAAGCAACTTAGATAGTATATTCCCAGCCTTGTTTATAAGAAATCTATAAATACAAATATCTTACCAATGGGCCATTTCCCAGGGATCTTTAGGAGTTGTCCATGGGAAACAGACAATCTTTCTGTTTTGTAGTAACTCTATTTTTATATTCACCTCCCCCCGCAGGTCTTTGTAATGTTTTTTTAAATTTTTTATGTTTGCTTTTGTTTGTTTCCAGTGCTGGGATATGGAATTCAGAGTTTGATCACGCTGGGCAAGAGTTCCACTACTAAATTCTACCTACAGCTCCTGCATTTTCCTTCATCTTTTACAATGATACAAGTAACTTATTTACGAAGAAGGAAAACTAGAGTGTGCTTTTAATAAGCAAGATACACTCCCTTAAATTATTTTGGGGACTTGAGTGATCGCCCAGCAAGTAAGCTACTTGCTATGCAACATGAGTACCCGAGTTCATCCCAAAACCTATGTTAAAAGCCAGCTACAACAGAATGTACCTGCAATCTTAATTTCGGTTCTCCTATAGTGGGGTGGGAGGTAGAGACAGGAGAATCCCCAGGAGGTTTGGGGCCAGCTGCCTGCAGTCCTTGGCAATGAACAACAAATAAGAGAACTTGTCTCAAACAAGGTAGAAGATGAGGCCCAGCACTCAAGGTTGCCCTTTGACCTCTACATGTGTGCCTAGCAAATGCATGTGTGCATTCGCCCCCCCCCCCACCACCACACACACTTCATATGCATACACACACAAAGTACTTCAATGTTTAACTCAAGGTTACAATACCGAAAATAACAGAACCCACTGAAAAGATTTGGAGACTTACCTCTTAGCAAGTGACAGCAGACTGTGAATGTAGCGACGGTAAATATCCTCATGCTTCTGGAATTATCTAGAAATGGGAAACACAGAAGGAGTGCTGCTTAACTCAAATAGCCAAACAGTGTGCCATCAGTAGAAGACCTGTCCTGCTCATATAGAAATAACCTCCAGGAGCCAGGATGGGATGCACAGATAAGCCGGCGGGAACCAAGTACACTCTGTGAGTGTGGAGACAGCTGCAAAGCTGAAAGGTCGGGACTTTCCTTTCCTAACTCAAGGCTCTACGGAACCAAGTGAGGAGAAATTGGTCTGGTGAGGCGAACATCTTCACATTGAGTTATAAGCCCTCCAAGTCGATAATGTACGTTCAAAATAAGGCAAGGGAAAAATACCTCCCCAACTCCTCCTGCTGCACCACGCTTTTCAACATTGATAATTACCTGTAAAGCCTGCCTTAGGCAAAGCTTCAGAGAAAGGAAATCCGATTTTCACTTTCACTTTTCAATGCTTGAATTGAATTTGAAATCTTAAAATCTTTAAATCTCCCCTCTGCCTCTTACCTACTCCAAATTATAATACTTCTTCCCAATAAAGAGAGAAAGTATACCACTAACAGGAGTGGGAAGGGAGAATTTGATTTGGCCCATTTACTAAGGTCTGGATGCCTCCGGACCACTCTCTGATGTAGCTGTCTAGATCCTGGTCTCTATTCTGCTGACATTTTTCTAATTCACTCAGGAAACACTGAATATCTCTTCTTGAGTCTGGCACTGTTTGGGGGCACTGAGGAGCAGTGAGCAAGAAATAGAAGGCATTCTTCCTTGGAACTGATGTCCAAAAGGGGTGGCCAAAGACAGTTAGTACTATACCCCAGCCAATTCGTTAACATCTTCTCTCTTCTGTGTTACTCATGTCTACAACTTTCATAGGAAAGTCAGTTCTCCTTCCTAGCGGCTCCTTGGCCTTTGTGTCTACACACAATCTATTGACAGCCATAGAAAGTGGAAGACTAGGGCTGTGGGCATTCACTCTCTACAACTCAGTAAGAAAACTATACACGGGTTGGGAGGAAAATAAACAAGAGCCCCACATAGTTCAGAGAACAATAAATACAGACATAGGAAAGGACACTCTTTCTAAGAAAGTATATTGAAAATTTATGATAACATTTTTGACCTTTTGCTCTTCCAAAATTATAGCTTCCTCATAGTTAGTGTTAGTGAAATACAGGTAGACAGGATTTCTGGACTTTCATTGCTAAGGATGTGAAACTCTTTGTACGGCTTTTTAAAGACCGGTATGGTAATCTCTGTTAAAACTTTAACTGTGTATGTCCTATGATCTCTTTTTCCCTGTCTTAGAAATCCACCATAGGAAAACAAACACAGATCTAGCAGGAATGACAGGGCTAACAACAGCCCCTGACTTGAAACACCCCACGTAGCTTCAAGGCCAATAAACCTGTATGTACTCTGAAGACCATGAGGGGCAGAATTTAGTACATGCATAGGGAATGAGTCTGCAAAGTCGTAGGAAGGAACTTGGAGGGCAGTGTATGATGCAAAAATATACTTGTGGTTTAAAGAAACCCTCAAGCCCGTCTGGAGATACTGCCTAACCATGATTATCTGCAGTGCAACGTGACTTTTATAGGGAACACAGGTAAGTTCTCACCCGTTTGTAATTTTGAAGGAAGAAAGACAGAAAAGGAGAGATGGAACCATGAATGGTTTCTTTGTCTTTCACGTGTGCACGCAACTTTCAAATGAGTGAATAAACGGATGCTTTACTTTCATTGTTAGAATAAAATGAATGATTTCACCACCAAACTCCTGAGTGTTTGGTGATGAAGTGATGGAATGGCAAGGACCCTGGAAATGGAGTCTAGACATCTTCACTGAGGTGAAGTGACCACATCAGTTTATTTTAATGTTCTGCCGTTGTTATAGAAACAACTGTGCGTCCATCACATACACTCCCTTCAGGGAGCATTCGGTAATATTGGCTAACAGATTTGGTTGCCAAAGTTTGCTTGGGAAGGAGGCGAGCCGCTTCTGATGTGATGATATAGAGGCCCGAAGGCTGCCAAGACCTCTCCCAAGACATAGGACAGCGCCCGACAGCAGAAACAGAGCTGGCCCACAGAGCCACTGGTGAAAGATGGAGAAACTGTGGCCACTTTGAGCGTGTCTGTAGATAGTTTCCTTTCCGCCTTTTCCCTACAATGAGACAGCTCTTCTCTACATGTCTAAGATTTATTCATGTCATGTGTAGGGATGTTTTGCCTGCTTGTATGTATGGGTACCACATGTGTGCCCGGTGCCCACAGAGACCAAAAGAGGGCATCAGATTCCCTGGAGTGGGAGTTACAGAGGGCTGTGGGTCCCCCAAGAAGAACAGTAAGTGCTTGAAAGCCCGGAGCCATCTCTCTAGTCCCAGTTCTTCTATACATTTACTAGCCATTTGAAAGTGTAAAATTGTTAAAAAAAAAAAGTGTAAGATTGTGACATAATTTCTGTAAGTCTTGTATCTAATGGGCCTTAATATTTAACTCCTTTATTGCTAGGTGTTGGGTTTTTTTTTTTTTGGTCCTTTTTTCAAAATCATAAGTATTTGTGTATTTAGCCAATGTTTGGTGAGTACCTATTGTGTGCCAGGTCCAAGATTAGGCCTGGAAGACAGATTTCCCTAACGGGAATTGCTGGTCAAAGGAGAAAGCACTTTCCCAATTCGTGACACATTCTGAAAATTGGTCCCATTGCATCTTCCCACCGTGCCGACATTATTTTTTTTTTACTTTTTTTCTAATTCAATTCTTGAAAAATGCAACTTGAATATTTTTTGAAGAAATGTTTAGTTCATGATAATGATTTGATCAATTATTTTGTCTCTTAAGGTTATAGGCTTCTTATTGACTATTATAAACCCTTGAGGTTAGAAAAGGGCAGGATGTAACAGCAGCTGAGAGGCTAAGGCAGGAGGATCTTGAGTTTGAGGTCAGCCTGAGCTACATAGTGAGACACTGTCTTTAAAAAAGGGGGGGAGACATTTATCAGAAGAGCAAAATAGAATGATTCGTTATCCTCTTGCTAACACTGGGCACATATTTAAAATCTTTCTCTACAGTCATCTGCCCAAGGAGATGAGACAGGATGACATACCAAAGGACGCTGAGCTAGGTCTGATATTCACCTAATTCAGTACCATACCCTCCCTTCCCTGGCTCTCAGAGCTGAGCTGTCAGCTGTTGGTAGAGGGAGGGGAAAAGAGGAAGCCCAGGGACCAAGTAAATAAGCGAGGTCTTGACCTCTGAGCCAGCACCTCTTAGTTGGTCTAAGAGGACAGGATCTTCTTCTTCCTTGGGCAAGAAACTGTACTGTTTGATGAGTTCCCAGCCGAGAGCAGAGACAGGGCACCAAAGTATGAACAGTGGAAGAAATGACAGCTCATTCAAGATGGGGAAATAAGTTTGTCCCCGGGAAGTCCAGAAGAGCACCCTGGAGCACAGCTTCTCTGTCTCCCACAGAAGGTGGGAAGGGAGCAGCCGCAAGCTTCCTTTCTCACAACTAAGAGTGAAGATTTACCCACGTTTCTAACTCTATCAAATGATCCTGCCGGGCAGTGGTGGCGCACGCCTTTAATCCCAGCACTCGGGAGGCAGAGGCAGGCGGATCTCTGTGAGTTCGAGACCAGCCTGGTCTACAGAGCTAGTTCCAGGACAGGCTCCAAAGCCACAAAGAAACCCTGTCTCGAAAAACCAAAAAAAAAAAAAAATGATCCTAAAGCCTGAACCCCTTCCCTCCCACTCCCACCTTCAGGACTGCCACGACCTCCCGTCTGTGCTGTTCAGCTGGAAAAGGCCAATATTTTCAGAGTATAAAGTTCTTCCTAAATACTGCCAGTCACTGCCATTGTCAGCTGCATATGCTTTCTGGAACGCATCTTGTTTATTTTTTCCATATAAAGGTCTTTCAGATAGCCAGACATAACTAGGTAGCTTTAAGAGTTTATCTAAAGGAAATGCCCAGCTATGTTCCAGGCAACCGCACATAGTGATGACCAGTGAATGACTGAGCTAGCAACCTGCTATTAATAACCTGGGCATCTATCAGTGGGAGAGTGGTGCCCTTAATTATCCAACCCAATGGAATACAGCAATAAAAATCTGGCTATTTAATTCATAGGAAAACATCCACAATCATTTGTTCAGATTAAAAATAAGACAGAACACTGTACTTACGATAACCCCAAGCTAAACCTTGATATAGCCAAGGTCAATGTGTCTAAGAAATGTCTGGGCATTTTTATGTTAAGTTCTTCTGCTCCTCTCCCAAGACTCCTTTAGGTCCTCTGGGTAGAGAGAGTAAAAGTCTTAGGCTCCAGCGTCCTGGATCTTGGCAGAGGAAGGGACCTCAGGAGATGCTTCAAGTGGGATGACTTACCTAGTCATTCCTAATGAACCATTAAAGCCGCGCTAGGACAACTCTTCTGACCCAGCTACCTACCCCAAGACCGGATTCATAAACACACACATTAACGCTAACGGTGCCTTATCACCAGACAGATTCTGAGGTCTTAGCCGTGCAGGGCTCTGCTGCCTATTAACCCATCGTGTTTCCCTGTTGCCTTCTTCTCTCTCCATCCTCAAAGGGTCTAGGAGTCTGGCTCTAAAGTGCCCTGCAAGCCGCGGTCTCGGGACTCGGCGTGAAGACGCTCCCTACCTGTAGGCGGGGAAACAGGCGGCGACCTGCTGGTGCTGTGTGACTTGTGTGGCCAGACGCTAGCTAGTCCCCCGACCTTATAGCGCAGGCCCCGCCCACTCTGGGTTCCCGCCTACTCAGAGCGGGGCGGGAACCCTGAGCACCTCCGCCCTGAAACCGAAATTCCCAGCCGCGCGCGAAAAACCTGTCCCTTTGGAATTCCTGCTGAAGGCTTCAGGGTCAACTTTGGGATAAGATACTGAAGTTATAGAAAAACGAACTAGGGTCCGGCGTGGTGACGCACGCCTTAAATCCCAGTACTCCGGAGACAGAGGCAGGTGGATCTCTATAAATTGGAGGTGGGCTTGGTCTACACAGCGAGCTCCAGGACAACCAGGGCTACAAAAGTGAGACCCTGTCGTGAGAAAGAAAAAACAAACAAACAGAAAACTATTTTTTGAAAAACGAAACTAAAAGTGAAAGTGAAACTTGCCTTCGCTTTCTTGTAAATCGGGTTTCCTAAAAGAACCGGTTCTGAATCAACAACTATGAGCTGTTATTTGAGTGGCGGCGAAAGGGAAGGGTAGGGATAGGAGGAGGGGAGGGTGCCTGTGACTCAGATCCACCTTAGGTTGTCTTCCTCTACATCTCCCCACCTTGCTCTTTGAGAGGGGGTCTCTTTGACCCAACTTCGCGTTTGCAGCTGACTAGACTCACCGGCCAGTGTGCTCCAGGGATCCCCGCCCCTTTCCCCCATACCATCTCACTCCGGGGTTCAGTCTCTTTTTTGTGGGTGCTGGGGGACCCGACTTTAAATCTTCCGTTCTTGGGCAGTAAGCACTTTAAAAACAAAACATCTCAAGTCATAAGATCTCAGACTTCAATTTTATCTTCAAAATCCAAATACCTTAACTACTGTCCGATTCCCCACCTCTTTCAAGCCCTTTCTGGATTTGTGACCATATTGACGTAACTTTACATACAGAGTTACACAGCATAAAGAGTTAACAACAGAACGAATCTTGGGTTTTAATTCTAGAAAGTAGGTGTGTCTATCTATATAATAGGAAACATATTTTTAAATCGTGGATTTGGTAACTTCCTCAAAGTTCCTCGACATAATGAAACTTGAGTTGCCTTGCCATTCAAGAACTTCCCATGTCAAGCCAAGCCCTTTACTGCCCTCTCGGGATCCAGGTGGGGGAAGTCTAGTCTAGGTAAAGTTGAGAAAGCTCTTCTGGGAACTGGAAATGTGGGCTTTTTCCAAGACGAAGCAATGGGAACTCCGTGGAGTATGGTGTCATTCAAGCATCTCACTGTTGGACCTCAAGGGCCTTCTTTACGGTTTGCTTTTCCCAGTTATTCACTAAAACTGCAGTTCTAAAGCAGGCACTGAGAGACCACTGGCTTGGCTGTAACTGGATTTTCAGGTTCTCACAGCATCTCTGGTCTCTGAAGATGCTGGAGGATCTATTGAGAATGTGGATCTCTCAGTATCATCAATAAAATTGGAGTAGCCTTTGAAGCCGCAGCTGAGCTACTCCCTCTTCCAAATGTCTTTTGAACCCCAATAGTGGGATAAAGTAGTTTTCTCAAATTTAGTGACTGACTGAAAATAAAAAATAGACTTTATATGTAGAAATCCAGTGTAAACATATATGTGTGTATGTACACAACCACAGACACATTTCTAGTTAACAGTTCCTTTCTCTATAAACAATAGCCAAGTCCCAGGGCACATTTATGATATGTTAGTGTGGTCGTATAAAAACTCAGGTCTATAAAAATTCACTCCAGAGACTCACTGTTTGGCTGAGTTCTTTAGCTAAATGATGATTTGACATGTGAGAATTAAGTCATAGTCCCTGAGTAGTTTCTTACCATGTGAATCATTTTTAAAGCTACAGGGGGGAGGTGTTTTGTTTTTTATTGTTTTTACAAAAGCATTGCTGAGGGTCGACGCGCAGAGTCAACAGAGAAGGCTGGAGGTAACTGAAACTCGCCCTCCCCCAGGGCTGCCCCTGGGAACTGCAGAAGGCTCAACCTGCTGCTCGCACTGATTTGCATGTGAGTCGCCCAAAAAATACCCTCACCTCTCCACCTGCCCTACACCTCAGACGCTCATTTTCCCATGAAGTCGATCATGCTCCTTAATGAATTTGGTATCCTCCAGAAGGAAAAAAATAGGACGTGATTTTAATTTAAAAAAAATTATTTTGTCGTTTCAAAACCTATTGAATAAGCCCAAATAACCTAAGTAAGGGAGAAGCAGCCCTGAAAATAATATCAGTTTTCTGATTTGGACAAAATAAAGAGAAACATTCAGACAAGAGAAAACCAGTGGCTAGCTAAGACTGAATTGTAGAACACGTGGGTCATCTCTAATGTCTTCATTTCCTGTTCCTATCTCACCTGCCCTATTCATCTGGGGCAGACAGAAACCTCCTTACCGCTCATGTTCTGCTTAGCTGATGATGAAGACTAACCAGCAACGGTGAGGAAATGCACAAAGTAAATTCTGGAGAGAACCGTGAGCCATCTGCAGGAGGGGCAGGCTCAACGGAAGGAGGAACTGGTGTGCGCTGTGAAGGTGAGAAGCCTGGTAGATTCTGGGAGCAAGCATTGCTGTGCCTGGAGGAGGAAGGTTGGATTCTCGTTGTATGCACATCCATGGATAGCTTCAGCCAGAGGAGTCTATGACGGTGTTCTACAGACAACACTCTAGCCAGCTGAAGAAGGCAGGCTGAGGAGCCTGTGTTCATGGAAGCCAGGAGATTTGAGGAGATGGCATTATACTTTAATTCAATTCCAACACTACCTGTGGAGAAGTAAAGTCGCACCCCACAAGTCCAAGGGGAAGCGCCATATGGCAGATGCCAACCTTAAGTCTAGGCATTCAGAGCTTCTGATGGTCTCGCGATGAATTAGGATTTCCATGACTCCCTCTGGTTTGTTTAATTAAAGTAACTCACAAACTGGGAGAAACAGGTTACCTATGAGAATCAGTTTATTATAAAGGACATCACCACGGATACATACGAAAGAGTACACAGGCAAAGTATGGTCAGGTGGGAGCCGGAGGGAGCTTCCGTGCTCCTCTTTGGGTTCACTACCCTCCAGGACCCTTCAGATGGTCTGCAGCCCAGCTGCTTGAAGCTCTAGCTCAGAGGATTTTCATAGAGACTTCATCAGGAATCAGTTCAGCTTCCAGCCCTTCTCCCTTCTGCGCAGGACAGGAGTTCGGGGTGAAAGTGTCAAGTTCTCTCTGCCCACAGTCTGGTCATTCTGATGACAAGGTCAAAACCAGGAACTCACCAAGAGTGACTTCACTGGAATGAAGAGCATGTCTATCTCTCAGGAAATTCCCAAGAATTGGTAGCTATGTGGTCATATATCAGAACAAAAGACTACCAAGCACCCTTATTAATCAGACAATTATAACAGGTTTCTAAGAATTGTATGCCAGAAAGTGGAATGGAAACCCAAAGGGTAGACACACACACACACACACACACACACACACACACGTGTGTGTGTGTGTGTGTGTGTGTGTGTGTGTGTCTCGGGATATCACATGTAATAGGGCAAACCATTTTATTTTACTTTTTAAATTTTGTTGCATGGGTGTTTGGTCTCCGTATATGACTGTGCTACAGAAGGCTGTCAGGCCTTCTGGGAGCGGAGTTACAGATAGTTATAAGTTGCCATATGGGAACCAAACCTTGGTCCTTTGGAAGAGCAACCAGTGCCCTTACCTGGATGAGCTCTCTCTCCAGCCGCAGCTCTTAGAGTTTAGAGACTATTTTCTGGGGAAGAAGGAGAAAAAAGAGGAGGAGGTGGTGGTGGTTATCAGAGGAGGGGACCAGGCTGCAGGTCTTGGGACAGGAGCCTGAGATGGACGGGCTGAAAACAGGGTCATGTGAATTGCACGGGTTCCAGAAGGAGGAAGTTAGCAGGGGTTTAGTCAAATGGTACTGTGACATCACAGCTGAAAAGCTCCCAAAGGAGAATCATCTACGAGCTTCCTGCTCGTCCTCTGTGCCGAGCATTTACATACAGCTGAGAGAGGAGAGTCCACGCCCGTATCAATCTCCCCTCACGCGTCCCCAGTCAGGCTTATGACTCTTGGGATGCTATGCGATGCTTCGAGTGGACCACGTGAAGCCTCCTCCGACTCAGGTTACCCTCTGAGCTGTAACGGCCCCTGCTCAGAACAGCTTTCCTCGACTTTCTGCCCCCTCTTCCATTACTGTCATCTTCAGTTACTGCGTTTCAGTGACTAACCTTGGCAAGCTGAGCATCATCAAAAAGAAAAAAAAAAGCTATCAGATTAATAAGATGAAACTGATTAATAAGATACCACAATCACATGATTAGAAGTATCAGTGATCGTAAGACAGGTCGTATTTAAAAATGTCAGACTCTCGTCTACCTATGAGACTACCCAACTTGGAGAACAGCCTTAGGAGCTTTAGCTCCTGAAGTTGGCTTTCTTGTAAGGTGCTGAAATGGAGACCTACAGCTCATGTACCTTGTCAAAGCTTACATGACCCGGAGCTCTGGCTCTGGTGTCTGCTACCCAGCGAATACCAGTGAGACGAGTGTCCTTATCTACTGCCGTCAAGCTGTAAGCACATTGGATGCTTCTTCAGCCCACTCAGTTAAACTCTGACTCACTGTATGCCCCAGCTATTCTACCCCTACAAATACACCCAAGATAACTTAAAATATGTCCACAAAACTTACAATGTTTTTCGTAAGAGGCCAAAATAGAACCATCCAAAAATCCATCAATACACCAAATGTGCTATATCCACATATTGGGATATTATTTAGTCCCAGCAAGAAATGGAGCAATGATTCATGCTATAATTTATTTGTTTAATTTCTGTTTCAAATTTACTTAGTGTGTGTGTGTGAGTGTTCCACTCATGAATGGAACACCTATGGATGCCAAAGGACAATTTGCAATATGATGGGTTCTTTCCTTTCACATGTGAATCCCAGGGGTAGAACTGGGTCCCAGGGTGGTAAGCCCATCAACCCACTGGCCCATCTCACCAGTCCCTGTGCTCTAACTTAGATGAACATGGAAAATAGTGTCAAAGTAAAAGAAGCCAGTAAAGACCATTTTGTTTATAGGAACTGTCCAAAATAATCAAGTCTTAAAAGATAGAAAATAAATTAAGATGGATTCTGTAGATTACCTGCATGTGACATCATCCATAAAGATAGGTTCTATAGATTGAGAAGAACAAGCTCATGATAGGGGTCTGGGGGAGGATCTGATGTGGTCTCAGTGACACAGATAAAGAAAAGGTCACCAGGCTATTAACTACCTCCGCTCCCAGCCTCTGGGCAGAAAACGGCTTATACATCTCTCCCTTTGAAGATACAACCCTGCTTGCTTAACATTTCTGGTTCCGCTGGTGCTAATCTGTGGGCACAAGAACAGTTATGCCTCCTAAGGTTGCCTTTCTCACCTTCTCTGCCCAAAGGTGGACACGGCTTTCTCTGCTGAACATTCCTGTCAGGCATTCTTGCCTAAGGGCCAGCTCTCACCTGGCTTTAGTAACCACCCTCTCTTCCTGGGCCCTTCAAGAAGACAGAAGCTCCCACTGTTGCCAGCTATGAGCTATTGAATGCTATCCAAGGGCTGAACACCGTGTCTGCATCTAAGTCTGTTTTCTCATTTAGCCCTCACTATGCGACAATCAGATGGCTTCAGTCCTACTGCAGACCGAACGGAATCGAGGCCTGGTTTGTCTGCACGCATAAACGTTATCAGGAATCTGCTGCTCAGCTTTTACTCTTGGTAGTACACCTGCTCCCACAAACAGAAAGAAAAATATTGTTGCAATTTTCCCATCCGGCTCCTGAACAAATCATGTTTGAAATGGAGAATCTAGAAGTCAGAATACAGAGAACTGAAGTCGAGGGCATCTACACAGGCCTGGGAGGTCTGGGCCTGGAAGAGGGTAGACGCCTTCTCTGCGGTGTGGCGTTAGCCAAGGTCAAGGCAGAGGGCTCTTCCTAAAGAGCCTGTGAGGCTATTTCCACAAACCCTTGGGTAGCAAGGGTAAGAGTGCTAATGGGTCCTCGGGTATTTCTTCAGAGGTTGGAGAGCCTTCCTCCAGACAGACATTGCTGACAGGAGTACGTAATACGGGAAGGGCAAAAGGTTACATGGAAAATTCTGATCACTGTTTTGCTTTTGTTTCCTGTTTACCTTTAAGCCGTTTGATGGCGACATTTTTACAGGGTTGGGACTCGGAGGACTTGAAACGGCATTTCCCTGCTGCTTCCTCGACTTTCCCTCTAAGCCATCCAATAGGTGCAGGACGCAATCTGCGGCTCTGACCCGCCCCACCCACCTCTCTGCTCTAGGCGCCCCGGAGCCGGCACCGGAAGGACACCCCAGGCCTCGGGAACCGGAGCCCTTAAAAGATCCAAAGGCCACGCTGATTGGTTAAAGAGCGCAGCCCGCTGTCATAACCAGCCAATCCCTAGGCTCTGCCAAGCAAAGCGCAGTCCTGCCCAGATCGATCAGGGACTCTGGCTAGGGGCCTCCGCTGTGGTCACCATCCCAGCACCGAGTCGCGTGAGTGCTTCTGCATCCGACGGCAGGGAGGGAGGGTTGATTCGGCTGAAAGGCCCCTGCACAGCTGCAGCTCCAGCTGGGGCAGAGAAGGCCTGGGCTCTGGGTTCTGCTAATGCCCCCGAGGCTGACAGATATTGCCAACCCGGCCCTGTGAGCGAGAATGAGCTCTCCTTAGCATTGTCACCAAGTTGGGAAGTCTACAGAGTGCCGTGGACAGGGACATGGGATAACTCTACGCGAAATACCTAAATGACAGGAAACTGGTTCCTCAGAGCCAGAGTGGAAACAATGACAGGAAAACACCTCCAGAGGCTATGTGCTTCCCGCTTAAGTTTGCTAGGGAATATAGTTTGGAATATTTATTGAGAATGATTGTGATGTTGTGACCAATTTAATTAATAAAACAGGGCAGAAATCTGGATGACAGAAGTAACGAATTCTTTCTCTTTCCAAATCAAATCTTGGTTCCCAGGGCGACCAGGGGAAATCTGTCTGGGATTTTTGCAATCAACATTCCCCAGAAACGCATCTTTCCACAGTAATTTGAATCATGGCTGGCAAGCTGGAACAATAATATGCCCCCCAAAAGCCACCCCCACACTGCACTCCTGTTTCCTGTGTTACTAGCAATAACGTCGATTCAAGGCCACTCTTATTCATTTGTTGATAATATTTTGTCTCTAGGAGAGAGAAAATTGAGGGTATTTGGAACACCCTAGGGAAGGGGTGCCAATGACTTTGATGGGTATAGGGGAGAAGGAATTGGAAGCACTGTTCAAGGTGAACTTACAAGGCTGGTACACGCATTTGAACACTGTTCCTGGTTTCCCTCTGTCTTTAGCCCGTCTACCTGAGATTTCCCCGACACATCCAAAGTCCAAGAGTGCAAGGCCTGGAAAGAGGTAAGCCTGAACCCTAGCTTTCTGAAGAGTTTCTCCTCTCTAGCAGACTGGCATGAGGATTGTCCCACCACTTCAAGGGAGAGCTCACCCCTTATAAATAAGAGTGTGCCAAGGGACTGGGATCTGTGTGTGTGTGTGTGTGTGGGTGTGTGTGTGCGCGCGCGCGCGCGTGTGTGCCAGAGAACAGTCGATTTCTTTGAAGATGTTTGCAGCAGGTATAAAAATTCCACCTTCCACTCCTATATGCGGAAGGCAAACAAGGGATGCCGGGTAGCCTTGTTTTCTTGGGTCGAATCATTCCTATTCTGTGCAAGTGTTTGTCAAGTAGAAGCCACAGAGACCATCAAGATGGCTGACAGTCTTTCCCCTGCAAGTTCAGCTGGAAGTGACTCACTTGGGCTGTCACTGCTGAGATAGCAGAGTAACCTGCTAGGTCCCCTGCCCCGACAAGTGTCCTCTGTCTGCTTGCAGGGTGCCGAGTGGGACAAAGGCAGGCAGGAAGGAATCCTCATGACCTCCCAGGCCTAGTATGTAGTTCAGCCTCTGCCCAGCTCTGCAGTCTGGGCCACGTAATTCCAGTTCAAGGCCACGTAATTCCAGGGTGTGTTCTTTGTCGGAATACACGGAAGTCACTGACCCTCAGCCCCCACTCCTAATAGGGAAAACATTCCAGCTGATGTGAACCCCCCTGTCCTCCTCCCGCTCACTTCCTGCGTTACTCTAGACCCAGGGTTTCCTGATGAGGAAAGATGTGGAAACAGCTGTTATCTGGGATCAGAATAGACATAAATCCTGGCTGGAAAGCATCGAGATTATGGTGTATTCAACAGCCAACGAAAGTGACATTGAAGAAAGTGGAGAAGTCGTGGTGTCCCCTGAGCCTCTAGTCTTCTGAAAGAAAAACCAATAACTAAGGAAAATGTTTGCTGCACAGACTCACTTGGACTTAGAACGCAATTAGGAGTTCTGACTCACCTCCAGTTTACAGCCCTCTCTTAGGTGGTTGTTACTGATAATAAGATGCAAACTGCAGGTGGTTGACGTGGGTGTGTCTGTGTGGCTCAGTCACTGCTTTTAAGGTATCGAAGAGACAAAGGCAACGTGCATTCATAAGAAAACGAACTTCAAATTTTAATCATTTCCGGGCTAGTAAAACAGATCAACCATTCTGTTCTCAGCTTTGTGGTAATGCTAAATAAATTGTATTGAGCACTTTATTATAAAAAAGATGTCTGTACTTAGCTGTAGGCTAATGTAAGTGTTGTAGGTAGGCCAAGGTAAACCACGATGTTCAGTATATTAGGTGTAGTAAATGCGTTTTTCTCCATGATATCTCCAACTTACAATGAGTTGGTGGGGTGTAACTTCCGTTGGAAGGAGAGGAGAAACTCTACAGTGTGGTCATTTTAAAAACGCATTTCTGGGCAGAGGAGATGCCTTAATGTGTGAAGTGCTTGCCATATAACCCGAAGACCTGTGGTGGAAGCTCCCGAATCAATGGAAATCTGCAGTCCCAGAGGTGAGACATGAGGATCCATGGAAGGCTCCCAGCCAGCTAGCCTGGTGTACACAGATGAGCAACAAGCAGAATAGACGGTCTCAAACAAGGTGGAAAGAAAGCGAAGACCAACACCTGGGGTTATCATGGGCCGTGGTACCTGCAAGAGCGTGTAAGCATCTTCACTTCCCTCCTTTTGAGAGCCTCGGTGACATGGAGAGGAGGAGGGCGAGGCTGGGAGAGGAGAGCTAGGGGATACGAGCTGCAAGACGGTGGGAATGAAATGTGTGTCGAAGAGGGATAGGAGCGTGAGACCTCAGGAAGAGCACTGATGCACTGACGGTGAGACATGTCATCCTGAAAGCACAAGTTACAGCGGGACAGACCCAAGTACTTCTGCACACGCATCCTCAGGTGCAAGGCCTTCCTGTCTACTGCACAGACGGCCAGAAGGTGGATAGTGGGGAGAAACATAAGGAAACATGGCGCGGTGTATTGACAGAGCAGGGAGAGATGGGAAATTATTTCAATTGACTAGTCTTGGCTAAGTAAATGATGCCAAACCAGGTAAGTATGCCTGAGGTTAAACAGCTAGTAAGTATTTACACTAGTCTCTAAATCAATTTTTTTTCTCTCCTTTTACCTTGTTGATCATAACTTTGGGCCTGTATAAGGATGCACAGGGCCAGTTATTTAAAGTTGCCTTGCATTTTCCTGCTTCAGGTCAAGATGGGGTTTATATTCTCCAAATCTATGAACGAGAACATGAAAAACCAAAAGGAGTTCATGATCATGCACGGCCAGCTTCAGGTACGTGTTAGTTAAGATGGTATGCTCCAATCACTTAGAATTTCTAGAATGGTGTTCTAGAGGCGTGTTCTCTTGGACTCCCCTTGACCCCCAATTAAAACATTCTTGGGCACCACCCTCAAAGGTGAAGTGGACGATTGCCTAGTTGGCGAATGGCCCACACCCCCAATCCAGATACTTGTTTCAAAATTTCCACACCACACAGAATTGTTTAGAGTATATTATGAACGGAATATACCCTTCCCCCAAGGTATCCGGGATTCCTAGAACCTGTGGCTACATTAGGACTGTGACACCTTACACGGGAAGGGGCTTTACTGTGTGTTCCTATAAAGAGGTGCTATTCTGGTTTATCCATATGGGTTCATTGTATTCCCAGAGCCGTTTTAAGGAGACTCGTGTGTGTGTGTGTGTGTGTGTGTGTGTGTGTGTGTGTGTGTGTGTGTTGCATGAGGTGGGGAGAAAGAGGGAAAATTCAAAGATGTCATATTGCGCTACACATAGAAATCTTAACCGCAAAGCCAGGCTGAGCAGCCCTCTACTGACTTTGAAGATGGGAGTCAGGGCCAAAAGAGGCAGGCAGGCTCAATAAGTTGAAAAAGACAAAGAAGCCGATTCTCCCCTGCTGCCTCCAGAAAGACAGAGCCATGCTAGCCCATTTTGGCCCTTTAGCCTCAGATAATAATTTGTTAAAGTGGCATTGGGAAACTGCTGTAGACTGTACACTTGACCTTGGGTTATACAGTAGCTGTTTAGAAGAAAATCAAAGAGATTGCTGAATTGCCTAATGTGAGTTGTCAAAGTAATTTTAAAATTTTGTAACTCACAGCTGAAAGTTGAGAAGTTAGTCCCAAATTGTTTTTCTAAGATTTTAGACAGGGATCATGAAGGGCCTGTGGTCTGTTACGGCTGCCAGAGTAGACAGCACTGCTCTTGGGCCACACAAATGAGAGGTAAACCACCAGACTGCGATTGACTCCATATCAACCTGATGGCCTGCACAGTCTGTCCTCAGTCTCCCGGTCTGCACCCTAGAGCCAATGCGCCCTCCAGAGAAGCCGCAGGAAGGAAAAATTACACACAGCATGTAGAATGTATGCCATACAGAGTGTATAATATAATGCCTCTTGCTTAGATTGGGTGTTGCTGTCATTGCTACTAAAATCTTTTTTTTTTTTTTTTAAAGTTAGGGTCTCATATAGCCCAGGCCAGCTTCAAACTGGTAATGTAGACTAAGGAGGCCTTGAACTTCTGGTCCTCCTGCCTCTGTCTCCTCGGTGCTAGGGTTATTTCTTTGGAAGAAATGGAAAATTTGAAAGAATGGGCAAGTTCATTTGGGGGTGGGGTTTTTTTTTGTTGTTGTTTTTTTGGTTTTTTTTTCCTGTAACGGAGCAGTGACCAGAAGTGACCACAGTATAGGAATCAGCCCAGTATGTCAGGAACTTGAGCCACCTGTACGTGGAAACTACAGGAGTTTCATTCTTAATCGGCCCACATGACCTCAGGTGCTATGAAGACTTGGGGAGTTTATTCCTCTTGGAAGTTACAGAGTCCTATGTCAG